CATATTTTTCATATTATTTTACTTTGGGCACCCTCCAGTTACATGCAAAGATCAAAACTGGGCAGTTTCCATTTTAAAGACTGACACCTTTTATATGGGCCATGGGGGCTGCTGGGTGGCGGGAGAGGATTTTAACATGTATTTGCTTACACTGAAATCATATACTTAAAAAAAAATCTTCCATACTTCAAGTGTTTTTATTCTGAGCAGTACGTACAAAAAAATAATGCCAAATGTGTCTTATTTCGTATCGTTCAGCACTCTGTACAGGCTCTCAGTCTTTTACAGATTTAACAGACCCCTCACTTCACCATATATAAGAGGCTTCCTTCTTGCCCTCACTGGAAATGGAGCCACGGGCGGGGGCGGGGGCTGCGCCTCGTCAGACCTTGCTGAGGAACTCCAGGTTCAGATAGGCCGGGATGTGGATTGAGTCCATGGTCAGCGAGGATGGGTTGAATGGAAACAAGACGGGAAACATGTGCTTGGAGTCTAACAGCAGCTGCTGAGGGTCATTCCGCTCTTGTAGCTGTGCCTGTGAGGGAGACGACAATCACATGAAAGGCCACCCCCAAAAGAGCTGGTTTAGAGAAACTCACAAAAGTGAAGTAGCCTGTATTATGAAAATATTTGTTAAGACAATTAGGGTGGGCTTTGGGAGAACATGGCCTCCCTGTCCCTGTGGCATTTGGCAGGGAGAGCAGCCCTGGTTTCAGCTTGTTGGAATCCAGATGACCTTAAGCTCTCCCCAAATTCTGGCAGTCTTTAAAATAAATTTTCCAGCTAAAGGAGAATAGAAAAATACATTTCAGGTGCAAATCGTGTGGAGAGGTACTATAGTGAAGGGGTTAAGACCACAGGCTCTGAGGGCAGACAGCCTGAGCTCTGATCTGGTGGGCAAATTCCTGAACCTATCTATGCCTTAGTTTCCTCATCTGTAAACCAGAATGGGGAGAGGGACATCACACAAAATGGCAGAGTGAAAGCACTGGGCCTCAGTCCCTCCATTGAAGCAGCCACTGAGCTGGAAAAAGCAATTGCTCTCAAATATCTTGGAACTCTGGAACCTGATTAGACATTTGGGACCAGCAGGACCTGAAGAAGGGGGAGGTTGCTTATCTCTGCTAAGGGAGCAGTCTATGTGAACCGGCCGCTAACCCAAGTCTCCAGCCCCTGTGCAGCTGAGGGACAGAGGCCCACACTCTGGAAGAAGCCAGCCGGTGCAGCAGGCCCGGCAGTGGGAACTTGTCCTCCAAAATCTGAGTTCCTGCCCTTCGTCTCATGTTTCCTAATGGATGGGCACAGATGCCTGCCTTGATTACACCTTCTCTTGGGATACAGTGCCTTCCTCCAATGGCATCAAGTGGAAGATTTAAAGGGACACAACCCTCCTTCCCCCCCACCTAATTTGGACCCAAACATTTTAGGAAAAGTATAATAACTCAAATGAAACTTTTCAGTTCACTAAAGGGGTTCAACAGCAGACTTGAGCAGGCAGAAGAAATGATCAGTGAACTTGAAGATAAGGCAATTGAAATTATCCAGTTTGAGGAACAGATAAATAAAATGGATAAAAGTAAACAGAACCTGAGGGACCTGTGGGACACCAGAAAGCATACCAACATATACCTCATAGTAGTCCCAGAAGAGGAAAAGAGAAAAGGGCAGCAAAATATTGAAGACATAATGGCCGAAAACATCCGAAAGACGTATACCTGTTCCCCTTCCCCAAGACTCTCAACTCCAAGCAGGGAAAAAAAAAAAAAATCCAAATGGGATAAAAAACATTCACACTGAGACACATTATAGTCAGATTATCAAAGCCCAACAACAAAGAGGGACTCTTGAAAACAGCGAGAGAGAAAGGACTCCTCACTTACAAGGTATCCTCAAGATTACAAACAGATTTTTCATCAGAAACCACAGAGGCCAGAAGGCATGGGGTAACCTATTTAAAGTCCTAAAAGAAACTCTTAGCCAAAAACTCTATAACCAGCAAAACTATCCTTCAGGAATAAAGGAGAAATTAAGTCACTTCCACATCGACAAGAAAGTCCTGCAGGGGCGCCTGAGTGGCTCAGTCGTTAAGTGTCTACCTTCAGCTCGAGTCATGATCTCTGGATCCTGGGATTGAGTCCCGCATAGGGCTCCTTGCTCAGTGGGAAGCCTGCCTCTCCCTCTCCCTCTGCCCCTGCTTATGTTCCCTCTCTCGCTGTGTCTCTCTCTGTCAAAACGAAAACAAAATCATAAAAAGTCCTGCAGGCTGACACAGAAGGACACTAGACAGTAACTTGAGGCTATAGGAAGAAATAAAGAACACAGCCAGCCTTGTAATTCTGCTTATAGCTCCTTCTTACATAATTTACGCAGATGCAGAAAACAGTTAAGCATTTCTGTTAGTAGGAACATCATATACAGCAGATGTGGCAGCAACAACATAGTGGCAGAGAGAGAGATAGAGGTATGTATGTAGCAGCAGAACATGTGTACTATTGACCTAAATTGGGATTATTTAAATTAGGTGGTTTCAAGTTTAAGATGTTAGTTGTGATCAGCAGGGTGATAAAAAAGTACACAAAAAAGGAAAGTAGGGAATCACAGTGGTACACTACAAAAACTAAAAACACACAAAAGCAGTAATGAGTAACACAAAACATAGAAGGTATACAGAAAACAAGTGGTTCCCTAGCAGAGGTGATGAATGATAAAGAGTTAACTAGGGTAAAGCAGAGAATGGTCTCTGGCACCAGGTGAGTCCCGTGTGGGCGGCTAACGCTCCTTTGTTCCTTCTGTTGGTTCACATCCCATCAACCTCTGAACCAGGAACCCAGGTGGAGACATCCTTACATGAAAGCCACGGAGACTAGTTAGCTATGAGTGTTGCCCAGAGGAAAATCAATACATCCCGATCTTGTAAAAATACAGGCCATCGCCTACTAGCTTAAGCTATCAAAATTTTTTTCCTCCTTAGGAAAACTCACCACTAGGCAGTGGTAACATTTGGTATGTTGTAACTTTCTAGAAGTTTCATCATTATCCTGTATTAGCCAAGACCAACAAGAGATCTTATATGAACTCATTAAGCCTTTGCATGTCACAGGTGACTATTACTCATAATAGCTCTGTGTTTCTAAAGCCTTCAAGTGGGGCTGAGGTTAGTAAATAACGCAGGATCATTTGAAAAGTGCTGGGAAACAGATTTTTAGAACAAAATCTGTGTGAGCATAGGACTGTGAGTCGATTCTATAGTGGCTGTGGAATGCATAAAGGTGAACCTGGATAATGAATGGAAAACTCTAAATTTCCAGTTGTCAAGTAAAAAACCTCCATGTGTTTGGTATCACATGAAAGGCGGGCCAAAATTTTGTATATATGTGTGTGTATATATATATATATATATTTAGAGGGAGGGAAGGAAGGAGGGAATTGTGTATGTGGGGGGGCAGGGGGGAGAGAATCTCAAGCAGACTCAGTGCTGAGCACGGTGCTCTATGTGGGGCTCGATCTCACGACCCTGAGACCATGCCCAGAGTTGAAATCAAGAATCATATGCTTAACCCACTGAGCCACCCACATGCCCTGGGCCAAAATTTTGAAGTAATTTTAACAGTTTGAAAAAGTAGCTTGAAATAATGGGAACAGTTTAGCAGAAGAAAGGACATTTAGAGTCACATAAGCAACCACTGTTACTAATTTAAGATCCCAAATGGTGGCTCTGTTGAGAACCTAACAGAATGGTCTCTCCAGGACCACTGAAGTGCAAAAGTGAATTCAGCTTGCTGCATTTATTATTACAAATCCGGTCACACAGCCTATAAAGGTGTACATAAAATGTGAAAGGGCAAAAGGCTCTTAAAAATTGTTTTGTAGCACTTAAATGTCCTTTTATTTCTTAACCTCAGATCAGCAGGCTCTACTCTTTAAAGGGTTTGAAGAAATTGTAAGGGATTGAGAGGAGGGTATAAAAATGGAGAAAAGTTAATACCTGTATTATTTATAATTCAGCAGCAAAAGGTGCGCATACTTATTTAAAATTAACAAGGTAGTCATCTCATAGGCATTATCCTGTGAATCCTTCTGTGAGTTTGAGAATCCCCTCAAATTTACGTTTTTAAAGGTCAGCACGTTCTGCCCATATCACCCAAGCAAACGGTTTGCTTTAAGGAACAAAGAGTATTTATCCCACATTAGATGTGTGCAAGTACAGGAAGTTGGCACAAATCATTCCACCCTTTCCTCTGTGTAGCCTCTGTCTAGGGAGAAACAGAGCATAAAACTACAGCTGGCAAAACAAAAACAAAAACAAAAAAAAAACAGGAAAAAAAAAAACCCCAAACCAAACCAAAACAAACAGAAAAAAACAGGGAAAACAAAAGCAAAAACAAAACAAAACACCAGCCAGAATTTTTTGATAGCGTCACCAGCCACTGAGAGTGGTGGCTGAAGCAACTCAGAACCTGATTCTGGCTCTGCAGAGACTATCTGACCAACCTCTCCTACCTTTTTTCCCCTCTGCCCTTAATTCAACGCCAAAGTCTGATGTGGCAAAAATTCTTTGACCTTTGGCTTGACTTCCGACTTGTCTTTTAAACAGTGCCACTGTCAACTCAGCAGCGGTTCCAATTCTCCCTCTGATGTGTGTACTAGTATTTAAAACCAAATAAGACTTTCTGAACTTGTACTTTGATTCGTGTAAATTATCAGTGCTCCACAAAAATCCGTGGGGACTCAGAGAACCCGGTGGCTTCTCTTTGTCATCGAAAGTCTTCCTCTACTTTCAGTAGCAGACTGTGGCTGTGTCTGGAATGGATCTTTTCAATCAGCACCCCACCTTCTCGAGATATCTGTGGTGCTCCCTCTCTGCCTGCTTTCCCTGTGCTCCGCATGTTACTGCGTTGCCTTTAGAAGAACGGCCTTCCACCTGACTTGGCATCCTTCTTTTGACCTTCAGCCTCTGGTTTCACCTTAGACACAAGGCTGAAATGTTCATTTGTCCTTAGACACGGCTGACTTTCTCAATCTCTGGATCTCTGCGTGGCCATGGTGTAAGGCGCTCTGAAGAGAAATCCCAAGACTACACCAGAGGGAAGAGCGTCTCCTACCCCTGTATTCTCCAGGTTTTTGAGTGTCTTTTTTATAAAGCCTCGTTTCAACTCCCCTTTTCCTGCCTCCTCTGCTCACTTTTGTCCATTTCTTTTGATCCTGGTTTCGTATGCTGGGATCACAGTGCATTGGCTGGCTAAGGAGGCATTGAGAAAGTGTTGTATCTCCTCAAGGTGTTCCCCACGGTGGGTAATGGGAGAAACGGTCACCGTCCTTCTGAGTCATCGGGATGTGGCTACAGTCACACTTACAATTCTATTGCTACAGCATTCGGGGCGTGGAAAATTTCCTCACGTGTGTTGTTACAACATTACAGTTAACTCCTGCAAGGTCTCCCAAGTAATAGGGGACATTTGTGATCCATTAAACATAACCAAGATATCCACTGATCTATTTGAAAAAATTGGTAATTGGGGATCTTATCTAATCTATCATAATTTGGAGCCTAACTTGTTTCATGTTTCTCCTTTTGCACGTGCTGATGCATGTACCATTTGCTGGCCATCGTGCCCCCCTGGAACCATACTGTAAGCCCCTGGACCGACTCCTGGATTGATTCTAACTGCCTCACAGCCCACCGCTCCGTTTCAGCAGGAAGCAGCCAGAGTGGTCACGGCTCCCGTCCCTGACAGCAGTCCTTACTATTCCAGGGGGAGGGAGGAGGGAGGATCAGGTGGGGCTAGGTAGGGAGAGATAGAAAGGGGGCTATGTGATCAGGCTCACAGAAATCCCAAAAAAGTGGAGGTGTGGGGAAACCAGAGAGAAGAGGATAAACCGGATCACCCTCCCCTAAGTGTGTGAGGTGGGTAGTGTCTCTACGATAATCACCTGTGACCAACAAAGAATAACCAGGTCCTAAAAAGGAAGTAAGCCATGGAAGGTGTTATCAATAGAGATGTTAAAAGGATTTAAGTTCCCTGGTTAGCTTTCTAGAAAAGACAAACCCTAAAGGGCCTCATTGGCAACCCTGTTAGGACCCCTCTCACTCTTGAGAGCTTTTTCTGTATCTTCACTTAACAAACTTCTATCACTTTAGTAAAAAATAATTTTTTTTTTCTTTAAGGCATTCAGCCAAATCACTTAAGGCTCAGCTTCAGGAAGCTCCTCTTAAAAAAAAATATGCCACAATCTCAAGACAGATTTAAATAATCACTTCCCTAATACATTTTCTTTCCTTTAAAGCATATACCTAAGGGGAAATGTTATGAGTCTTAGAGGCAAGACTGAGAGCTCAAATTGTTTTCTTAAAATAATATTTCTTAGTTTAGTTCATGGGTGGGGTTGATATTCTGCTGACTTTTTAATTCCACTTGGCGCTCTAGTTCAGTGATGTGCTAGTGGCAAATACGACATCTAAAATCCAAGCAGAGATTATAAAAGTTCAGTCTTTTGTGTATACAGCTAAGTTATTTATGGGTGATACAGTTAGTACTTACCCAAATGGAAAGCCTTAGGATGTAAGGTCTTTTGGCTTAGAATATAACCAGTGATTTATTAATACAGAGAAGCAAAATTAAACTCTAAACTTTGATTTCCTTTATTAGTTTTCGGTGAGAGCTTTATAAAATTGATCCTAGTTTTGGACCAGGACTTTATAAAATTGATTAATGTTTTAAAACTCACCTGGATTGTTCGTATAAAGGCCACGGTTACCCGTTCTTCAAATTCATTCAGGGGAGTATAAAGGTTTAAAATTTTGACAATCTGTTGGAATAAAAACAAAAGCTTAGCACAGACCTAAAGGAACATATGACAACTTTTGGATTTCAAAGAATATAGGACACTCACAAGAGTATACTATTCTTTACACAGGACCCATACCTTGGAGCGGGAGTGAAATTGAGGAGAGGAGCCTACAATTTGTAAACTACAGACCAGAGGCTTCGTCTACTAGACCTGAGCCCTCTTACTCCTGTCTCCATCACGCTTCCCTACCCCCGCTCCTGGCTTAAAAGATAATGGTTCTAAACAGTGTGGAGATTCCTCAAGAAATTAAAAATAGAGCTTCCCGATGACCCTGCAATTGCACTACCGGGTATTTACCCCAAAGATACAGATGTAGTGAAAAGGGCCATCTGTACCCCAGTGTTTATAGTAGCAATGGCCACGGTTGCCAAACTGTGGAAAGAACCAAGATGCCCTTCAACGGACGAATGGATAAGGAAGATGTGGTCCATGTGCACTATGGAGTATTATGCCTCCATCAGAAAGGATGAATACCCAACTTTTATAGCAACATGGATGGGACTGGAAGAGATTATGCTGAGTGAAGTAAGTCAAGCAGAGAGAGTCAATTATCATATGGTTTCACTTACTTGTGGAACATAACAACATGGAGGACAAGGGGAGATGGAGAGGAGAAGGGAGTTGAGGGAAATTGGAAGGGGAGGTGAACCATGAGAGACTATGGACTCTGAAAAACAATCTGAGGGTTTTGAAGGGGTCAGGGGGTGGGAGGTTGGGGGAACCAGGTGCTGGGTATTAGAGAGGGCACGAATTGCATGGAGCACTGAGTGTGGTGCAAAAACAATGAATACTGTTACGCTGAAAAGAAATAAAAAATTAAAAAAAAAAGAGATAATGGTTCTAGGAAACCTGCCTGAAACTCTCAGCCTCTTACCTACTAGTCATTTAAAGATTTCTTAAAGAGTACTGGAGATCTTAGATAATGAAAGTGTTGTTTTTACCACACCTCCCTATCTCCTCCCACCCCCCAAATCACTTAAAAAAAGGAACAATTTTTCCTAATTGAACAGAGAGGATAATCTTCTGTCTGCCTGCCGACTGTTGGGTGGAAGTAGCCTGCCCAAATGCAAAGTGAGGCCGGCTGAACTCTAGAAGTAAACTTCGGAAAGCAAAATATATTTAAAAGGGGGATAAAGTTGGCAAACTTGCAGTATGTCTATAGAAAGAAGCACTTCTCGGAAGAGTTTGTCATTTCATCTTATAGTGGTTAGTGGGGAGGTAAGGAAAGGTATATTTACAACACTGAGTTTGGATTTTGTTCTTTAGGTGCTCGACAGGGAGAAGAAGGTGTATGATCTAACTTAGAAAGTCGGATTTGGGAGCACCTGGGTGGCTCAGTGATTAAGTGTCTGCTTTCGCTTCAGGTCATGGTCCTGGGATCAGGTCCTGCATCAGGGTCCCTGCTCATCGGGGAAACTGCTTCTTCCTCTCCCTCTGCCCTTCCCCCTGCTTGCGTTTTCTGTTAAATAACTAAATAAATAAATAAAAACTTAAAAAAAAAAAGAAGAAAGAAAGCCTGATTTCCTTGTGATGGTCTCATTTTGTGAGGCCGCTTTGTGCTGGCCCATTTCTAAACAGGCATACTCATGGTGGAGGGCAAGCCATCCCAGGTGTGGGCAGCATTTATCTTCTGACAGTCTGGTCACATCTCTGCAACTGAGCCCTAGTAGGAATACAGTTTACTGGGGGACGGCAGGGAGGAGAGGCACATTCTAATGCCTCTAGCTTCTCAATGACTGTTTAAAACAATGTCAATGGCTTCTCTTTTTTTTTTTTTTTTTTTAAGATTTTATTTATTTGTCAGAGAGAGATCACAAGTAGGCAGAGAGGCAGGCAGAGAGAGAGGAAGAAGTAGGTTTCCTGCTGGCTCATCCCAGGACCCTGAGATAATGACCTGAGTGGAAGGCAGAGGCTTAACCCACTGAGCCACCCAGGCACCATAATGTCAATGGATTCTAAGTGAAAACATGGCCACAATGAAAGTATATAGTTGTAAAGAAAATGATTTATTTAATGCCAAAGGCATGATGCTGCCCATTTCTGAACAAAATTCTAAAATTTCTAGTTAGAAACATTCTAGAACTGATTATGTTTAAAAAATGTTTCTACCTTAAAAACAAACCAACATGGGGCACCTGTGTGGCTCAGTCAGTTAAGTGCCTGCCTTTGGCTCAGGTCATAATCCCAGGGTCCTGGGATCTAACCCTACATCAGGCTCTCTGCTCAGCAGGGAGTCTGCTTCCTCTTCTCTCTCTGCCTAGATGATCTCTATCTGTCAAATAAATAAATAAAATCTTAAAAAAAAAAAAACAAAAAAAACCCAACCAGGTGTGCCTGGGTGGCTTAGTCGGTTAAACGTCTGACTCTTGGTTTCGGCTCAGGTCATGACCTCAGGGTCGTGAGATCGAGCCCCATGTGGGGCTCTGCATGGAGCCTGTTTCAGATTCTCTTTCCCTCGATGCCTCTGCCCTTTCCCCTCCCCCTAACCGCTCCTGTGCGTGTGCACTCTAAAAACAAAAATACATTTTTACCCAAGCTTAATGTTTTTTGTGTTTACTACCTTATCTTTCTATGTGAGCAAGGGGGCCCAGAATGTTACTGGGGGAATGGTGGCATCTTGTCCCAGAGACCAAGGCGGTCTTTGGTTCCCCCAGGAACATTCCATCTGCGACAGCTTCTATTGTGTCACTGGCGGCTAGGAAGGCTGTGCTTGTACCCCCCAACACAGAGAAGCCTTCCCCTTGGATGGGGAGGCGGGCCGGCTGGCTGCTGGGGCGTACCTGCTGCGTGCTGAGAGAGGTGCACAGGGAGCAGATGGCCTCCGCGTCCTCCGAGGTTTTCTTCTTCAGTTGCAGGAGCTGGGCTGCTTGGATCAGGGGTTCCATGGTCTGGACGGCTCCACTCTGGTGAAGGTTCCTTCCCCGAAGCCACTCTTCAAGCTGGCTTATGTTGTACCTTAGACACAGGTCAAAGGGAGCCGAGTTAGGCCAGACTCCTAAGGCCCGGGGGCGAGCACACCTGGCGTGCCTGTGGTACCACCCAGTTGCAAACAGTGGGATCGTTTTCACCCTCACCAGCTCACACGGAGCAAATCTTGAAGAGCACTTTGCTGAATGAATACAGCGACGAATGGGTGTTTAAAATCAAGCAAAGCTGAGGGACATGAAGTGTTTGTGTATTTGATCTACTGAACTGAAGCGATTGGTACTTCACCTTCACAAACATAGTTCTACGTGGGCCTTCTCGAGTCTCTAACCTCGC